GTTTCACAAGAGTGATACATGGAATTGGTATGTATGAGGGGTTTTCAATGAGTAGAATATAACTGAAGGTTCTTTAATATACTATGAGTCGGTTGCTAACCACATTCTTGTTTTGGAATATTTTATCTGGATTTTCAGGAAGATGAAGCTATTGCACAAAAGCACAAGGGAAAAGATAAAAAGAAAAGAGAATAAGAAAGGAACAAGGTTACTGCAGGAATCATATAGGGTACAAGACCATGGTAATGTAGAAAAGAAATTCATGATACGATCTGATTCAATTATTCAACACATAATTATTAAACATATATTCAAAAGTATGAGCTTGCCCTGAAATTTATGAATAATGTTTCTTTCAGCATGTACAGATGAGAGGTGGGGGGAGTTAGAGCAGGCAATAATTTTAAGTCTGTTGTGTGCTGGTCTTCCTATCTCTTTGAAAAAGAAATCTAGAGTTGGAGATTTAACTCAGGGGCAAAAGCATCTGCCTGGCAAGCACAAGGTTCTGAGTTTGATAAAAAGAAAGAAAAAAAAAAGAATCTAATTTTCCCCGTTACTCAGGATGGGAGTAAGGGGCCTAAGTCTTTTTTTTTACTTTGGGGAAACTGAGGAAGAGAGGGACGAGGAAGAGGAAAAGAGAGTGAGATTAATGATGATAAAGCTGAATTTAAGCATGTGCCCTTCTGACCTCCACACAAAGGTTCTTACCATTCTGAGCACAGTCTGTGGGGAGCTGTGGAGTCAGCAGGACCAGGGGCTTTTATCAAGGCTTCTGGTGAATTTGGCCACAAGATTAATTGCCTTAGTGTAGTCCAGAGTCCAATCAACATAATCTGTTTTGGCTCTTCAACAGCATGACTATGAGAATATGCACGTGGCATATGATGTGCTGGATCTGTCACTTGGTAGTCGCTGGATATCCAAGCAATTACTCAAATTCTCTAAATTGTGGTTTCTTTCTCTGTAAAAAGGATTCGACAGTACCTACCTCATAGTTTTTTCTGAAGATTAATTAAGACAAATGCATGTCAACATGTACTGAGTGTGGTATGACATGAAAGCAGGAGACTCCAGTGTTTCATTGCTGTTGGCATTGGTCACATGCTAAGCCTCTGCATCCCTTCTGTTATCAGAGTTTATTCTATTAAGGTTATGGTGACAATTTAATCTATTTTCATTTCTTAAAGAACTTGTTTTGTTTATGTGCATAAGCTTAACCCAGGCCCTCCTTTTCATTTTAGCCTTTCTTCTACTGCTAAATCAACCAAGTTCCTTCACTCTTTCATTCTAACACTGTGTTGGGTCTCTGGGATCTCTATTCTCATAAATAATGGGAGCACAGATTAGGAAAGAAAAGCCTGGGATTTAGAGTCAGACTGCCTAAGTTCAAACTCTGCCTCCAACACTTACTGGCTATGCAGGTTGCTGGATCATTCTGTTTGTTTGTTTGTTTTTCTCCATGAAGTAGGGACAATAATACTGCTCATACTCAGACTTGCTGTGGAGTTAAGTAAACCAATACTTGTGTGTCTTTAGCCCTTGGAAGAATCTTTGCCACAGAATATGTGCTTAGTAAATGTTAACTGTTTTATTAATTCTCAGGAAGTTTGCCTTCAGTAACTCACTATATTGTACCGTTTACTTGGATGTATTTGTGACTATGTTTTCTAGACATTTTGAAAAATGGAGCCACGGTGTCCTAAGGGCCTTTGAACTTACTGATCTGTCTGCAGGAGCACTTTGTCCAAACGTCATTCCCCAGAACCCTCTCATATAAATGTCATTGCTCCTTCCCCATCTCATGGTCACTTTCTGTACCTTCTCTTGCTTTACTCTTCCATTGTATTAATCTCCACATGCCACTGTCTATTCCTGTGTTTATCACTGATCTTTTCCTTGAGGAAATATAAGCATTAAGCATGGCTTTGTCTTGTTCACTGCATTTGAGGTCTTAGAACCAATTCTGGCACATAAAAGCTGCTCAGTAAGTATTTCCTGAATGAATAACTGAAGCCAAAATTTGTTTTTAGTCCTCATTAGTTCATTTTCTGTTGTACTTAATTTTAAAACATGCCTCTCTTCCAGAAGTTGGTTTGATCTGGGAAAACATAAAAAAAATCGTCTGAGGTTTTCCCTTCAAGGTATAAAACAAAGTTAAAGCGTCCAAATGTTATTATGATATCCATGTCAGAGGCCCTTGCAAATGTAAATAAAAAAATCAGTCTTTAAGAGGATAAAGAAAAAAATCATAGTACTCTATTAAAAATTAGTTTAAATAATTAATTTAAAATGGAAGCAATTTTACTTTGGAAAGAAACATGCGATTTCTCTGTATGTCTAATAGGAGAGGGGTAGATGGTTATAGGAATATATTTCAGTTTATGTATAACTAGAGCTTCCAAGTCATCATCTCTAATCACATCCAATAAAAACCCAATTTTTCCTTTGGGTTCCCCAATATTCTCTCCATTAAAAACAATGAAATCTACAAAGCACTTGAAAGCAAGTCAGTATTTGATTCCAGCAGATGGCACTGCAAAGCAATCATTAATGATCCACTAACTGTATTTTTGATCATGATAATACTTATTCTATAGTAAGATAATTTAAATGACATGCAGGGAAAACAAACAGGCTGGGGATTTTGAAGCTACAATAAAGCTGGAGTTGCACAGTGCCTTGAAACTGCAGTCTCATCTATATTTTAGTCGGGGAGTTACTGAGATGGTGGGTGCACGTAACATAGATTGACCACTGTGCTCGGAACACGAAAATCACTTTTTGATATAGGATTTTGATGTTTTTGTTTTAATCTGATGTCTATTTTATGTTAGGAGTCCAGTGAGAATCATAGTTTTGCACTGTGCTAAATTTGATGCCATTCAGGCCAGTTACCATAGACAGAGGAAGTGTTATTCTAGGGTCACAAGCCACATGCCTGACCTGTGTGTGTGTGTGTGTGTGTGTGTGTGTGTGTGTGTAGTTTTGCCAGTAGAGACCCTTGGTCATAAAAGGGTTGGATTAGACAATGCAAGTGGCTCTAGATAAGATAATACCAGTGGCCCAAGAAAAACATTGTCCTACAACAGAAATTCCAGAAACAGTAACAGTGGGTCAGAACTCAAGATTTTTTTGGTACTAGGGATTTGTCTTAGTTACTTTTCTCTTGTTGATGGGACAAAATACCTGACTCCAAAAGTTAAAGCAGGAAAGGTTTATTTAGGTCACAGTTTGTAGAAGTTTCAGTCCATAATCAGCTGGCTCCAAGGCAGGGTAACTTGGCAAAGATGCATCACAGAGAAACAGTTTATGATAGAAAAAGACAGCAAAAGCAACAAGACAGAGCCAGATAAACCTCTTTCTATCCCTTATAATCTATCCAGGCCCCCGGGATTAGGGTGGTGCCAATCCAATCAGTGGACTGATCCAGCAAACACCCACCTCTAATCCCAGCACCCTTAATCCTAGCATTGCACTACAAATCAATCACATACTTTAGATTCAGCCACCTCCAAAAAAACCCTATGACTGCATGAGGCTTGGAGTAGGGGTGCATCTAGACACATAGCATGACAGGATTGAGCCCAAGGCCTTTGCACTAAGCAAGATCCCAAGTCTTTTTTAATTTTAAATTTTGAGACAAAGTCTTGCCAAGTTGCTAAGTTTCCCAGGCTGGGCTCAAACTCATAATCATCTTGCTTTAGCCTCCCAGAGTTCTGGGACTACAGGAGTATGCTACCAGAGGGTTGGCCATAAGACTGTAAAATATGCAGTATTATACCTTATATAAAGTAAGAGTGAAGTACGTGTTACTGTATAGCCAGAAAAGTCACAGCCAGTATAGTCACAGGAGTTGGGTGTCATTTTGTCAGGATATCTGTTCCTCTTTTGTGGAGCAAGAAGTCGTTAGTCAAAACTGGTTCACCTCCAAGTGAACCACCTCATCTCTTTCTATAAATGTCCTAGGAGATTTCTGACATAATACATTTATATGCCCTGTACACGGTTATTTTTTCCTATTACTGCCAAGGAAGCTTGAAAAGCCTTTCAAAGTATATAAGAAGTGAGAGCAATAGTAAATTTCTGAAATTTCTAGAAATATATGAAAGTGCTCCACAAGGTGACTAGTTTGTGGACCACCATAGGTCCCAGGTGCACTCATTAAGAACCTTTTAACTATAGCAATGAGTCAGTCTCTCCAGGCTTTTCTCACAACGCTCATAGATACTGTCACATTAGCCTTGGGCACCCAGGGACAATCTAAAACCCATGCAATAAATGCAAAACCACACCAGTAATCTAAACAAGGGGCAAGTACGACCTCAACAGTACCTTCCCTGCAGGACAGTAGGGCAAAAAGACACTAACATCTTTCCTCTACAAGTCCGGTTAGTTGATTTTACTTTCTTTTTGTGACCCCAGGGTGTATGCTTTTGCGATACCAAATTGACAACAGATGGTGGTAGAATATTCTAGAAAGCTACTTGTGGCTTTGGAGTGGGGCAGATTGCTAAGCACTCTTTAGAGTCTTTGAAATTTTACAGAACACTTGGTCCTGTCCCTTCATTTTACCAGTGGGAAATTGAGTCAGAAAAGCCATTGGACTTACAGAGGTCACACAGCAGTTATCTGAGGTCATCGGAGTTTCCAATGCATTGGCCAAGTGCTTTCATGGAGAGTAAGGGATAAGAGAAAAAAGGCCAAAAAGTAAGAGATTTACTCCCAGTGACCTTAGGAAGTTGATGAAAAAATACTATTTTATGCAGCCCAGGAAAAAACAAATTTTGGCTTACAGCTTCCAGTAAAGAGAAGATAGCACAAATTCATCAACTATTTGGTTCTGACCTCCCCCTCTTCTGCTTTTGTGTGAAGTTACTATGTTTGATATCTCACTAGAAAGTCTGCATATTAAAAAGAATGGTTGTAATAATGGCTCATCCGGAGGAAGACCTTTTTTCTCAGTGTGAAGTGATAATTTAAACATGAATTAAGTACGACAACATTAAACATTTTTTATTAGTATGGAGACAATAAAACCTAAGTAACCTTGTGCTTTTAACATGAACAAAATAGTATACATACAATTTTTCAACTTTTCAGAAACTTTTCATGAATATTAGGAATACACAGAATATGAAAGAAACTTTTCAACTGTTAAGTTCCTAATTTATTCTGTATCATCAAATGGCATAGCAGGTGAATATTTTATACTTAAACAAAAATAATTTAACATTTTGTGCAATTTAGCCTTATTTATTCTACAAGAAATTCCCACGTTCCTTTGAAAGCATGACCCAGGTCTGTAGCTGCAGTAAAAAGTGATGACATTCATGGCTCACCCACAGTTTAGCAAAGTAATAACTCCAAGGGCTTATAGGGGAGGAGGAAAGTTTTAGTGAATACTGACAACACAGAACTCCTGGGTTGATCATGGGACTCACATGGCCTTCTCTGATTTGAAGTGAAGTATGTCTTCTTTACTTTGAAAAAGTATTTCGTTTTTACCAGTGCTTTTATCCTTGGCAGACTAAGCTCGTTTCCCACCCCCGCCACCAACTTTAATCGACTTAGGGTGGATCCCACATCTGGCTGGATTCCTATATCTCTAAAGGGTCCGGTTCTGGAATAAAAGCGAAAGTTGGGGGGTACTGGAGTGGGATGAACAGGTCACTTTAACTGCCACTGGGAATCTCCTAACCACTTTTCATTTGGCTCACTGGCGTCCTTAGATAAAGGAGAACGGAGGGAGGTCGAGGGAAAAAAAGCCAAGGAACGGTCCAAAAGTCACGTGCAAAAAGCAGCCCCAAAGTAGAGGAGAGCGGAACTTTGAGAGGTTCCACAACAGACTACTTTAAGAGTCTTTACGGTAACAATGAGAGCATTCGGTTCGTGATTCGATTTCTTAATCAAGATAAGTAAAACAAAAATGCCGCTCCTCCACGGCAGCCCTTTCTAGAGCCACGGGCAGAGGTTCGCAGGCGGCAGCGTACCAACCGCATAAAGCACTGCTCAACCACGCTGGGGCAATCAGGAAGGTAACAGATACACCATCATGGAGTTTGAGATCAGGCGTTTTTTTTTTTTGCATTTGTGTTTATTTTGATGAAATAATCTCGGTGCATAATAATGACTTAAAACTATAAACCAGGTTGGAAACCGCAAAATGGCTGGTTGCAGCTCACGTCGCACTGCTGGAGGAGACGGAAAGCGCGACCTCACTCGGCACAGGGGCGCCCGGAAGTCCCGAGGGGCGCAGGGAGCCGGACTGAGAGCGGCCTGGGGCGCGCGGGGACGCCGGCCCGAGTGGCGCAGCCTGGGCTCTCGGGAGTTGGAGGAGGGGTCCACACTCGGGGCCATTCCTGCGCCGCGCTCTGGCTTCCGCGGTGCCTAAGGCGGTGACCTCGGTCTCCGCGGCGGGAGTGCCGGCTGGGTCTCCCAAGCTGTTAACTCCTCCAAGCATGGGACTGTCTCCTGCGCTCCCGTCTTGTCTTGCCGGCCCACTGTGTAGCCGGGGCAAGAATAGGTGACGGGTGCTAGAGACCTGGGGCTAGAGCCAGCAGTGCCTGGGGTCCGCGCTCTGGATTCCCGCCAGCAAAGTCTGTCCCCCAGGCTGACCTGGAATCGCCTGGGGGTCTGAAGGAGGCGGCTCCAGGGTGCAGGTGGGAGGGTTGCTGTGCTGGGGCCGGATGCAGCTGGTTCGGGGACAGAGCTCGGGACTGTGGTTTGGTGACCCTAAGAGCTGGACCGGGGGGCTGCAAGGGGTCGCAGACTCGGGCTGGAGTTCAAACCGGGAAGCACAGCGAGTGGCCTCTGGGGCTTGGCTTTTCCGGGTCTCAGGTAGTTCCTGTGTCTCGTGGAGGAAGGACGGGCCTGGGGGAAGGAGCTTCACGCCCTCGCAAAGCGATCTCCAAGATACTGTAAGGGAATGAGATTTCGTGAGCGGTGCGCAGTGGCCGCCACCCTGGAGATCCGTCCCGGACCTCCAAGATCGCTTCGGGGGCGGGGTCCTCCCCAGCTCGCGGGTGGCCGGAGCCGTCTCAGGCACATCCCTCGGTGATTCTTCTAGATCAGCTCGGGCCGCGCCGTCAGCCTCTATCCCGCGCGGTCATCCTTTGGCCCGCTTTCCACTGGCCGACCCCGGCCCCTCGGAACACGCACTTCTGCTTTGGGGGCTGCACTGGAGGGCAAGGCGGGGCAAGGGAGGGGTGGTAACTCGCGGGAGCCTCGAAAACGCCTGGGCCCAGGGGGAGGATGTGGTGTGGCCAGAGGTATTCAAGAGAATGGAGCGCACACAGAATTAGGAAACTAGGAGAACTTTATCCCCGATGGCAACACAGCAAAACCCCTACGCGAACGCGCCCGTTCGGCATCCCCGGGACAGTACCACCCATCCACACCAGCTGGGCCTTAGTAAAGGCCAAGCCTTCTCCGTAAGCTGTCCCGGCGTCGCGGCTTTTCTGCACGAGGTTTTGTTCTGGCGCTGCCCAGGCGCTGCGCCTGAGGCTCCGGGATTCTGTCCTCCGCCCCCCACGCCTGGACAAAGCACACGCGGGCCTCGCGGACTGCGGGCCCTGCTCGGGGCTGCGCCGCCCTCGGCGGTGCGCCGCCTCCGCGCACTCGGTGATCGCGAGGGCCACTTTTACCTCCTGCTGGGCCAGGAGTTCTTTTCCTGCCCGGCCAGAACCCGTCCTGGCCAGGTGCCCCACGGCACGCGCGGCGCGCCTTGTTACCAGAAGCTGACGATCTTCGCAGCAGCCCCAGCTTAATTTCCTGCCCTTCGGGGCACGAAACCTCTTCCGGACCCCTCGGGTCCTCCCCAGTGGGCAGGGAAACGTTCAAACCTCCGCGGACAGGCTCAATTTAAAAGCAGGGTGGGGCGGAGCGGGCGGGGCCGAGGTTGTTCTTTGGGATTCAATTTCTCTCCACTAGGAAGGATTTCGGGCGGATAAAACGCAAGTTTGTGCACTTGGTCCACAGAGGGGTTGCAAACCGAGAAAACAAACAGATACCTAGGAAATAGGGACTTTGTCCAGCGGTCGCTGCTGGTGGGTGTGCGAAACGCTCGCGAGGCGAACTTTCTGCCGATCGTGTACTGAGGGAGCTAAAGCAAAGGAGGGGGGAGCGGATCGGAGGGGGCCGCGTGGCGTAGACTCTGCAGATTTGGGGGTGTCTCTGCGCCCAGGAACGGGGGTGGGATGTCGCGACTAAGGCAGAGGAAAGAGTAGAGCAGGAACCGCGGGCTAACTGGCTTAAGGCGTTTTGCAAGCGCTGGAAAAGGTCGTTGAAGGAGTTAGCTGCGCAGGAAAAAAAAAAAAAAAAAAAAAAAAAAAAAAAAAAAAGATCTAAAAAGAGTGCTGGGCATGCGCACAGAGAGGATGCCATATTGGAATGAGGCTGTAGTGGGAGCTGGAGGGCTGGAGCGGGCGCGCGAGGGAGGCGGCGGGCGAGGAGCGAGCGAGCGAGGGCGGCGCGGGCGGGCGGGCGAGCGAGGCCGGTGCCCTCTCGGAGACGCCCGGGGCCGGGCTCCACGCGAGGCGGGACGAACTTCATCAGGTAGGACGCCGCGCCGGCTGCTGTCCCCGGGCCGTGGGCAAACCTCCGGCCCGCAGGTTGAGCGCGCGGGTCCGCGTCCTTTTTTTCCAGTTTAGAAAAAAAAAAAGGAAGCCGGGTCCACCCCGGGGTGGGGGTGGGGGAGGGGGAGCAGGGAGGAGCGGAGCCCCAGAGAAGGGCTGGGGGAGAAAGCGACAGCACTTGAGCGAAACCCCAAACTCCTGTGTGCGCTCTGGGTTGTCATTCTGCTTCCTCCGTCCCCTTCCCCCGAGCCTGTGGCCTCCGAGGAGCCCCGGCGTGCGGGAGTCCGCCTGGAGTTGCAGAGTGTCCTCCCGCCCCGGGGGCAGCCGGTCCCCGCCCTCCTTCGTGCGCTCAGTTTCGCGGTGCAGCTACCTGCCCTGCGCTCGCGTCTCCTCCGCGCTGAGATTTCCTTCTGGGGTGCGTCTGGAGTGGGGGGTGGGGAGAACGTGGCGGGGCGGGGGCTTGGAGACCGCCCGGGGGTCAGAGATCCCTGAGACGTCTGCGACCGCTCCCTTGCAAACGTTTGCCTGTGCAGCTGAAATGAAATCGTCGGTAGTAGTTTCGGAGCGTGCTCCAGCAAAGACGATCTTTTTGTTCATTTGTTAAAATCCCCCTTAAAGTAATATCCTGTCATTTGGGGCTTTCCTGCTGTCTGCTCGCCTCCGACTTCCTTTCAAGATTGCTAACCTGCTTGGGCTTTAGAGTTTATTTTTTAATGGGCGCGCGCGCGCGAGCCTGTGTGTGTGTGTGTGTGTGTGTGTGTGTGTGGTGTCTTGCTGAAATCCTCCAAAAAAGCAACTGTAGGAACTGCGGGACGTATTTACTGATTTTGACCCGGGACGGCTGGAGGGGATCGGCCCGGGAAGGGCGAGCCCGGGGAGTGGGAAGCGGTTGCTTCTCGTGGCCGGACGCGCGTCCAGAGCCCCATCCGTACTTGCGTTTTCTTCGAGGCGCTACAGCGGCGGGGAAGGAGTCGTCAGACACCGTGCCAGTTTCAATATGGCGGGCTGGGTGGCTTTTAAAAACTGAAAATAAAGGTTTTGTGGTGGGAAAAAACCCAACCGAAGGGGCCACACCTTAGTTTCAACTCTCTTTGGTTGTCCCGGGAATCGCTTTAGCGAATTAAGGGAGAAAATAGAAAGGGAACTTGCAGCCCTAATTTTTTCCGTGGTTGGCGTCTGTGTGTCAAGTCCATTGCTGGAGGGCGGGGGGCGCACGGGCCCCCGCCGGGACCGGGACGTGGACGCGCGCCTGCCCCGCGTGCCTGTGCGTCCCCGCACGGTGCCTGCTCGCGTGTGCCCTTGCGGGGAGGGGGCGCGCTGAAGGAGACCCGCCCCGAATCTGAGTGCGCCTCGGAACCCACACCTTGCCACGATTGGACGTGACGAACTGCTGACACGCGGTGCAGAGATACCTGCGGGCCGAGGGAAAGATGTATTTCGGCTTTCTGGGCGAGCTCGCTCTCTCTGTGCGCCGGATGCTGCGCAAGTACAGCCTCGAGTAAGTGGAGCGAGGAGGTGCCTGTTAGAGGGACTAGTAGTCCAAGGTTTTGGGTGCAGTCGGGCTGCAGACGTCAGTGGGATTTTGCGTGTGCTGGATTTAGTGTGCTTTTGCTTCCCTTTGCGCCACGCTGGGGTGGAAGGTTGGGGTCCACGCCAGAGCGCTGGGAGGATGAAAGCCGGGGGCAGAAGGGGAGGGGCGCGCGGAGCTCGGCCCGGAGATGTGTAGGGTCTAGGAGGGGAGCTGCTTTTGTTGCTTTCGGCTTTGGCGGGGTAGGGGCTTGGGGAAGGCGCGGGGGTGGAGGGGCTGCCCCTTGCTCGGGTGGAGAGCCGAGGGCTGTGTGTGAGGTGTCTTCCTCCGGCCTTGGCGGGCGCGCAGGCAGGGCTGTAGCCTTGGAGAGTCGTGGGCGACGAAGCGTCCGGGGAAAGGCCGGCATCCGGGCCTGGGGCTGGAATTTGGAGACAAAATCGGTGCTGTAAGGCGAGCCTTAGGGAAAACGGGCGAACGCTAGCCCGGAGGAGAGCCCTCCGGAATGCGGGAACGTGCCTTCGCTGGGAGCCGGGGTCCCCGACAGGGGTCGCCCGTGTCCAGCACGCGGCCGCCCAGCTGAGAACGCTCGGCGGTGCCAGCGGGAAAGACCCTAAGGGGGTCGGGGGCCACGCGGCGGTCGTGAGCGGCCCCCTGGCCCACTAGGGCAGGTCCCGGTGACTTTTCCCGGGCCCGCGCACCTGATCGCGTAGCGGCGGGAGCTGGGAGACATTTTAAAAATGACAGTTAAAAAATAGTGTTACGCACGTTTGTAGTTACCACAGCAACGTGGTTTTTCGCGTTTGCGGAGGCTCCATAGGGTTATTTAGACGAGCGCCTCGCTGTCGGAGGGGCGGGTCCGCTCTCCGCGTCGGGTGGGTGGAGGCCAGAGTGACACCTCGATTGGAGACGCGGCGACAGGCTTTCCCTCCCGCCGGAGCGGCGAGGCAGAGCGCTCGGCTAGGCGCGGACGGACGCGCGTTTCGCCCGGGGTGCAGGGCGCGTGGCGCACCCTGCCCTTCCCGCCGCGCTCGGCGCGTCCTCCGGGCCGGCTCTTCCGTGGGCTGCGCGGAGGTGCGGGCCAGCCTAAAATGGCTCTGTGCTGGCCGACTGCAGTTTCAGCCGCGAACCCCTCCCCTCGCCCTCCTGACGTCGATGCTGACAAAGGTACAGTTCACTCCGGCGCACTGAAACCCCCGATTTTGCACCGGGCTCTGCGGTGGAAGCCGGACTGTAGAATGGCGATTACAAAGGACGTTCCGCAGGATTCTCGCAGGGCCTGTTTTTCTTGGAATTGATGCAGTGCCCGAGCCCAGCCGACCACCGTCCCAGTACCAAAGGGACCTAGGGCGCTCCAGCGGCTGGGGGCGGAGTTGGTTGGGGACTTCCAAGTACAAAAAACCCGAAGGAGGCCCCCGGGCACTCGGGTGGTGGGTGTACGCAGCGATGGCCACTACCGCTGGTGCGCGTCCTAGATGGCATTTGTAGTGTCCAGTAGTCCTGAGGCGGGGAGCCCGGCATACGGTCCCCAAACTTCTGGAGACCTGCTTCCAGTTTCGCTTTCGGAATTTTCAGGATCTTTGGGTTTCTGGAGTTGGGTGGGATTCCGGAAAGGGCACGGAAGTGCTCGGTCCCCTGTCGCGCGGTGCCCGCCCACCTCGGGATCTCCGGGCTTTGCCTTGCCGTACCGCGCCGCTGTACCGCTGTGAGCGCGCTGGGGCTCCGTGGGCCGCGCGCTACTCCGCGCTGCTCCTGGAGGCTCGCGTCTCGCTGCCGCGGCCGATCGGAAGCTAAGCGGTCGGTGGGAAGCAGTTTTCTAGGAGGGCCCACCTCGGCTGGATCCCGAACCATCGCCGCTGCCCAGCGCTCTCTCTCCCCGCTCCACCCTTGCGCCGTAACAAGGGACTTGGGCCACAGATTGGCGTGTTTACACCGAGCAAATGGATCCAGGTTCAGCCAGGTCGGAGAAAAAGCGAAAACGCTGAAATTCAGCCTCATTTGCTGGGAAGACGGTTGGAGGTGGGGAAGGAGCCAGGCGGTAGCGGGGAGGGTAGAGGCGGGGCGCAGGATTGGTGGTCCGAAGGAATTGTTGGCCGGGCTGACCTTTGAGATAGGAGACCTGCTACTTTTTCCTTACTAAGCATTGTATTTACACGACTTTGCTTCCTCCCAGCCACAAAGAAAGACCGACTCAGATCTTTATCTTAGCTCGATGCTGGTCTGCCAGCTGGGGAGGCGGGAGAAATGCACGGACACCCCAAAGCTCCAGACTCCCACTCAAGTTTTTACTGCCTGAAGGACCCACTTCTGGGCCATGCAGGGACAGGGGAGTCTTGGCAGTCGCCGTCTCAGAAGATCGGTTGTGAGGTGTGTTGCTCAGAAGGTGCCGGCCAGACCTCCTGAGGTGTGAGTGGAGTGTTTCACACTGCATGTGAGGTTTCTGTACCTTGCACCTCAATCCGGTGGGAGGTGCATTTCACTAATGGTGGAGTGATTGATCATGGAGTCTTTTTCTTCAAAGTGTTCTGCAGAAATTATAGACTAATTAGAAAAAAAAAACTTGCTAGATATAAATGGCAAGTTCCATGATTCTTGGAATGAATAAAACAAAGCCAGAATAGGTTCCTGACCCCCCCCCCCCGTTCCCTTTTAATAATAGGCTTTCCTGGGAATATTAAACTGTTCATCATAGCCCCTCTGGGCCCACTTGAGCCGAGATAGCATTTTTCCGCTTTTCTCTACGTGCCAGTGGGCTCCGAGGACTCAGAAGATGTATTGATGATAGGAACTAGGCTGAGAGCGTAAGTACATGGGATTCCGTTAGTGGATGTAGAATCCTTAGCCTATATAATGTGAATTCAAACTTCCCAGAGCTTACTCTCCTGTGTAAAATATTTTTGTGAGGATATCAAAATAAGAGTTCTTGTCTTTTTTTAAAAAATAATTTGAACAAAAAGCACTTACTGGGGAATTTTCATGACCTCTAATTCTGATGCAGTGGTTTTGGGCAACGTCTCTCTTTGCATTTTACTGTTCAAAATTTTTAGACTTCATGTAACAGTGTAGGGGTAATAAGGAATTTTTATCCTGCTCAAAAGTAGGAACTCAAAAACTTGAGTCAAGGTGGTATTGAGATCTGCAATGCAAGATTTCATTTTAATGGTTCTGACATTGGCGCAGCTGCTGTTTACTGTCCGTGTTCCGCGCAAAAAAGTAAGGAGGGAAACGGCTTGGTGGCTCATGGGTGTAACCCCAGTTATTGGGAGGCTGAGATGGGGAGATTGCTGTGAGTTTGAGGCCAACCTGTGTTACATAGTGAGTTCAAGTCCACCTTGGAATAATACAAAGCGGGACCCTGTCTCAAAAACAAAAAACCAACCAACCAAACAAAACTGTTTCTGTTTTTAGGGAAGTTATACTTGTTACAGCAAATGAGAAGGTCAACCTTTACATTCACAGGGATCTGTCAACCCTGGCTTATATGGATGACTCCTCACGGGCTTGGGCTGGGAAACTACGGCCTGTCTTCTAGTTTCGGAGATGGTTCTGTGTATGTGTGTGACCCAGGATGAATGCTGCCATCTTTCTGAGTCTCGGTTTTCTTATGTACAAAAGAAGGGCGTTGAACAGGAATCTCAGCAATCTCCATGTTTCCATCTTGGAACCAAACCAAACCAAACCCTGTGGTTCAGTCCATCTGTGCTGACATGCCCAAATGACTCATCTTTTGACTCGTGTCCCCAAAGTATAGTAAGAGCACTCCCCGCTTAAGTGACAGTTGTGTGAGACGAGGCGGTACAGGTAGTGGGTGCGCTGTCCTCACTGTGCAGAAGGGAAGTGCTGTGATGGTTAGGTCATGTGTTCATTTGTGCTCAGGCCAAGGTGCCGCAGAGAACACTGGGGCCTTTACATATGGAGCCGGCGCACACAGCCCCAGGAGTGGCGCAACTGGGTTGACCACTGCCCAGCTTGATCCTACTGTTCTCTTTCCCAGGTCTTTGGAAGGGACCATTACAGATAGAACTCTGAGCCCATCCCTGGCTGATGTTTATGGGATAGCTGGATGACTACCCTGCTGGTAACCAGAGAGAAAAAGTCCACCGAAGTCCAAGGCTCTCCATTCTTAACCTTAGGGTTTGGCCACAGGGCATTACTTCCTCTCTTTGTAAGACAAAAACGTGGTGGGACAGTTCTTAGGAAAAAAAGTTACTGGCTAAAACAAGTGTTGGCTGTGTTTAAGTCAGTGTGCACGGGATGGTTAAGTGGCAGGACTCCGTTGTAATAAGTACTCCTGTTGGAACTTCCAGTGTAACAAGGTTGGATGCACGATTCATGTAAGGTTACCAAATGAAATCCTTCGGGATCGGTTTGCACGTCAGTTTAGCAGTGTTCCAATGAGAAGCTGCCACCATAGCGTGTGCGTCTAGTTGGCCTATACTAGCAGTGGTGGCGAACCTGTGGCCTGGGTGTTATTTGTTTTTCTTTTAAGATGAAAGATGTTAATGTATGAATTGTTTTTTCTAAACTAAAGCCTCAGTATTCAGGTTTAGTTGCAGTGTTGGCATTCTGTGATAAATAAGTGGGCTTGGGGTTGCATTTTGGGCGTTCGGTCTCTAAGAGGTTCTGCACCACTGGCAGATAGTTTTAGAAAGTGACAGTACTTCACTGTACCCGCATGCTAGAGTCCCTTGTGTTGTCCACACCATGAGACCTTTCGGCTTCCATTCATGTGATAAGGTGGGTAGATATTTTTCACACTAAAGAAAGAATCCATTGTGCTTTTCTGTTTCTTATTTTCCTAAAAAAAAAAAACCTTGGAAATGACACATTTTGCTAGATACAGGGCTTGCTGAGTTGTGTAAAGTAGGGCAAATAGTATCAGCAGTGGTGATGAGACAAGAGTCGCCTGGATCTCGTGGGCTGGGAAGAGGGAGTGGAGTTTTTATCCTGTGAGTCTTTGTCGGTGGTTTTATTTGCCAGCCACTCTGCTTAGTTTTTTCTGTGTATTTTTCCTGTTTTTAATGAGAGTTTTATCATTCCCATTTTACAGAGGAACTACTAAGGCCTTAGA